TCCAGCAAAAGCTTGTTGCACGTGACCAACGGAATTACCGAACGCTATAATTTAGAAATTGACAAGAAAAAATTTTCCGTTTTCTACTTGGAACATTCTGCACGTTCTAATTCAAATTTTGTTCTTTTTTCGCCTGAAGACGACGATATAATACTCGTCGAAAGTACTTGCGATACAAGAAAAATCGTATTAACGCTGAACTCAGTGCTTTTTATCAAGAAGGGTATATACAGTAATGGCTTCCTTGCATTCTTTATTTATTATAATTGGTGGACAACTGGACTAGACATATCCCAACGACGCCTGCACTATCAAGGATAAAAAAGTAAGCAGTGTTTTTTTTAAACATATATTCAGAAATTAGTCACATTAGTTACTTTATTCTTTAAAGTCAATAATTTTAACCAGATTCAACTAGCATGGTTTTAAAAACGTGGTTTACTTTTAATGAAAACTCTTTCTTAAATAGGCTATATAAAATAATCTTTTAAAAGCTTTTAATTTTATGCAAATCAACTAGCGGGGTTGCGGGGCGAGCAGTTTACTTCACTTTCACTTAGCAAGCAACTTACGTCGTGAAGAAAAAAAGTCATTCCCACGGTACCCGCGATGAATTCAAGTTCAACAACAGAAGTTTAAAAATTTTTTCAAAAAAACTCTAAAGAAAACAAGGCGCAATGCACACTTTGCGGCAAATTTTTAAAGTTTTCTGGAAATACGACAAATTACCGTCAGCACTTTCACGGGAAAGTTTTAAATGACCACACGAAAACATCAGGTCCACCCAGGAAATGACCACATGTGGAATCCATATTCACGAAAGGTAACATACACCTAAATAATTTAATGCAGTATGTTTTGAATTAATCATTTAAAAATATTTATCAGTATAAAGCTTTTCAGATATGTATCAGATTATTTTTTATTTTCAGATGTTAGTGCTATTAATATTTCCCTGGATTCAAGATCAAGCAGCAGGTCATGCCTATCAAATGAATCTTTCTTCTTCATCTTCATCGTCATCTACTACAATTTCAGCATTTTTCACATTGTTAAGTGCCATGAAATAAAATTTGCAGGAACCTGAAAATCGACAATGAACAGTGCTGGACTACATTAATTTGATTCAAGATTTTAGACCATGTAAGTAATTAGATGCTTTCCAAATGCATCTATAAGATCAAACACTAAACATATTCAATTATAATAAGTAGTGTGCAGTTTTAGTACTAATAGTGAGCAGTTTTTAATACTTGACTTAATTTTTACAGAAGTGCGATATAGAGCAATCCACTTTTTAATGTTTATTTCCATTAAAATCATGCACATGTCTAAAATATTGGGCTTAGATTTGAATCTAAGCAACATGCTTAAACAGTGTTCACTATACTGTAGAATGTCCATTACTAGTACAGTTACTTGACAAGTAGATTAAGAAATTATTAATAAATTTAAAATTGTAGATGGAAGAAGAAGTGAAGAAATAACTGCAGCAATTGTGTGTTGGATTTTAAAAGATGGCAAGCTTTTTGATATCGTATCAGAAGATGGATTTCAGAATTTTTTTGAAAGTAGCTTGCCCAAGGTATCAGCTCCCACACAGGACATCAATCAAAATAAAGATTGACCATCTGTTCGATGCAGCAGTTTTGACTATTAAGAAAGAATTGTGAGCAGTAAATGTGATGGCTTTAACCACAGATGCATGGACAGATTCAATAAACAGCCATAGTTATCTGGGAGTAACAGTTCATTTCATCAAGAATTTTAATCATCAGTCACATGTACTTGGTGTTTCAAATTTGACAGAGAGCGACACTGCAGAGTACATATAAGAACAATTAAATAAGGTAATTGATTTTTGGGGGTTAGAAAATAAAAAGATCGAAAACAAAGTTGAAAGATCGATTGCAACTTTGTAAAAGCAGTTGAGCTGTTTCATGGAAAAGACAAACACTTATCTTGTTTTTCCCACACTCTAAATTTAATGGTAAAAGATTCAATTAGAGATGTTCCAGAGTTATAGCAAGTTATTGGAAAAGTAAAGGCCATTATTACTTTCATGAAAGTAATAATGCAGCATCAGGTTTACAGAAAGAGCAATTGAAATTGGGCAGCAGTGAACTGAAACTGATTTCAGGATGTGGAAACAAGATGGAATTCAACCTATTTAATGCTAAACAGGTTCCTTGACACACAAGATTCAGTGACCTTAGCAATACAAACTGTTGTTGGTGATCCTGACATGCTATCTGGATATGAGCTCCATTTGGTCCAGGATGCTATTAAAATTTTAAAACCATTTTTAAGCATTACTAATAAATTTCTTCAGAAAGCACTACTGTGATCAGTAAGATCATTCCAATTTTGAGTTTGTTGTCTAATGTACTCAGTAAAATTTTTCCTGAGACTCAAATTAAAAAATTATTGATCTGAAGTATTTATAAAAATTTGGATTACAGATTTAAATACATTGAAACAAAACTGGCCTACAGTGTGGCAACAGTGCTAGATTCACGATTTAAGAAAGTCAACTTTAAAAGTAATGCAAGTTGTGCTAGAGCTGTAAATTTCATCAATGCCCAACTTAACTCACAATCAATCATTAACTATGAATGATATAATTGAGAATGATAATGCAGATGACACCAGTGGCTTGTGATTTTTAAGTTTCTGTGATCTCACAAGATCACAGAAACTTAAAAATCACAAGTATTGACAGGAGATCAGAAAATCCTTTAACCATAAATTCATTAAAACATTACCTAAGCATGGCTATTTCAGTGCACACCTCTGATCCAAAATGCCAAGGGGTCCTTGGCATTTTGGAAAGACATGCAAGATACTGATTGAAATCTTAGCTTTTTAACATTACAATCATTATGAACACTCACAGTGCCATTGGAAAGGTTATCTAAGGCCAGGTTTATTATTAATAAAAAAATGAGCAAGTCTGAGCCCAAAGCACATACAAAAACTATTAATATTAAGTTCTATGAATTTTGGAGATCTTTATAAATTAGCAGGTTAATTTGTCCCTTTTGTAAGAGCTGTTTATACTCATGTACTTATTGCAATAACAAACGTCAATACAACTTTTAAGTTAAGAGTTAACTTTCATTTTCTTTTTATTTCTGATGTAATCAGAAAAAAACTGAAAATTTAAATAAACGTCAATTGAGCATCAATGTCTGAAAACCATCACTGATGTTTTTTTTACCATCAATTGCTGACATTGATCATTGATGTTTCACCCATCGCACACCACTACCTTCCAGTATAAAAATGCTCCTGAAAATAACTTCTTAAGTTAACAATCTTTCATTCTCTTCTAATTACTTTTTAATTTTATATTAATAACAGAAAAATTATTGTAAATCATATTTTGGCCAGGAAAAACAATGTCATTTGTTTCAAATGAAATGGTGCACAAAAGAACAACAACTCTTACAGGTAAGAAAAAAAATGAACGACTGTGTTCAATTAAATAGAAGTGATTTAATCTGTATGCAGAAATGTACCTAACTTTGAAAGTATTTACAAAAAAAAAAAAAAAACATTATGAGAAAATGTTTAAGTCTTATATTAATAAATTTTACATAAATTTTATTTTTGCTATTAATTTGTAACATTTTGCTAGGTACAACTAGTATGTAAGGAATATATAAAACTATATTTTCTATAAATGGTAATGGATATAAATGGTAAATTTCTATAAATTCCAATCTCATATATGAGATTATCTAAAAACAATAATAATAAATTCTAAAGACTGATAATACCAAAGCTACAACAGCTATTTATTAAAATTATTCATTACTACTAAGAACTTTCATACAATATGTAAAAAAACTTTTACCTCAGCATAAAATCTAAGATCCACTCTAATTTTACTGGGATTTGTTATCTGAAATATTTAAAATTTTACTTTAAAATTATTAAAATCAAATTCAATTCAAACTGGAAAATAATACAATATTCTATATGTATATATTATGCATATTTTTTTTGCCATATGTTAAAACATGAACTGATTACAGAAAATATGTAATTAATTATATATCAAAAGAAATATGAATTTAATTTCAAATGAATATCGAATTTAATATTTGGTTATTACACTTAATGGTTAAATTTTACTTACATGCACCATCATGGCGACACTTCTGTAATCTCGACAAAACTGTTCAGTGACTTTCAATGTGGGTGGTGCCATTAGAAAATATTAACAAATTTATCTGTCTAACGCGATGTGTTCATACATCTGTATTTGAGTGGCTTTGGTTTTTGCAATGGATAAGTGGACATTGAAGGATTTTTTCCAATATTTAGAATCATGTTTTTCTGAATTAGGTGTTGATGTGAGAATCTTGTCTGGTGTAAAGTTTGCGATTAAATTCAGCCTAAAACCTGTTGATGTGGAATGCAATAAATGGCAATGGTCAGAGTAAAATTTTATTTAGAAAAGATACTAATCCATTTTTTTTCGATCTCACAAATGTAAGGCTAGTAGTTCAGTGTTCGAAGGAACCTTTAAAGATAAATTTGGAAAAAATTTGTGGGAAACTATTTCTTCATTCATATGGCATCTAATTTGCATTGACTGCTCATTGAATTATGCGTGTTTGGCCGTAGGAGTTAGTAGTAGAATGGCTGTCAACTGGGAAAATTTTATTAGACATGTCATGATGGTTTCTTTGCATAATTTAACAAAAAATGAAAATACAGGGTTCCTACTCAAATTTTTGTTTTGAATTCCCTGACTTTCCCTGATTTTCCCTGACCAACTTTGTCCAAATTCCGACCCTCACATTTTTTAGTGTGGAATATCGACATAATAAAACAACATTTACTGTGAACATTGATTACATCTAGCCCTCTTTTTGCACAGTTGATATGCTTCAAAGACCGTCACATTAAAAAAATACAGTACATATGTCCTGTAGAAAAATGTTTGATAGAATCCACAACTTCNTAACAGAATCTAGTTCTTAAAATACCTGAAGAATTCTTCTATTTTGTCTTTCCATTGTTTGTAAATTTTTATGGTCTCTAACCAAGTGCTTACATAATGATTTGTAATATTCTTTCAATAATGATTTTAATCCTTTTTGACGATCTGGAGGTAATAACTGAAATATCATTTTAATGATTAATTTGATGAAGGAAATGATTGAATAAAATTTTAAACAATCATTTTTAATCTTGAATACAGTTGTCCCTTGATAGTCCGACATTTTGTAATCTGACATGCTCAGTAGTCCGAAGCACCTCCCATCAAGGTCACCGTAGTCCCTGTCACATGTCTGCTTGCACAGAAGCATGTCGCAACATTAATCTTCCCACCCAATTCTTACACAATGACACACATTTCGTGTGTTTTCTGTGAGCAGTTCTGTTTGAACAGTTGGAGTAGGAAATATTGTAGGCCACTGCTAGCAAAACAATGCCAAATATGTAATCACTTTCAGTAATCCAGACACTTTTGGTAATCCGACACACCTTTGGTCCCATACCTGTTGGATTATCAAGGGACAACTGCATTTTAAAAAGAAAAAATTAATTTTCTGAGCTTTATACAAGAACTGAATTGTTTCAATATTAATAATTTATATATATAATATATAAGAATATTAATATCAATTCTGCATNATGATTCCGAATTTAAACCCTCTAAAGTTTTCAATATAAATAGCAACTAGAGATTATGTGTCTCCAATGAAGAATTGCAAATTCTCCAGGAGTGCTTCAGAGACGCAATAATACGGATTTAGTGATGGGGTTAGACACCGAAATCCTTGACCAATTTTATCAACTCCCACAGAATTTGTTTATCTGATAAACAATATTATAAAATATGTATGCACAAGTCTGTAATCTGTACTCCAGCTTTATTCAAAATAATGTTTGTTTATCAATTTATTACAAGTGTTGTTATTTAATATCTCTGCAAAAGAAATCTTATAATAAATTAAATACGTTTAAGAGTCGATTTACGTTACTAATATACCGTAAATTGAGGTATTAAGTAAAACATGTAATTTCTTACTTATACACTTACCGAAGAAGTTAATTTCGAAACAGCAAATGAACCAAATACGCAAATAATCGCAAAAACAGCAAAACAGAATGCGAATATAAATCTTCTGTGGGGTGAATTTAATCGTTTCAAGTCGTCATTTCTCTCGCTGAACACAGAGATACAGATACAAACAAGTTAAATGAGTCAAGAGAAAGTACACAATGGCGAATAAATCGCTCCACAGTCGGTTGAATTGTTGAAAAATTTCCCATAATTCGGTGTGTTCTTTTACGATGGTGACTATTTTGCGCTTTAGATTTGGAGAGTTTTTCGTCATCGAATCCAATTGTTCTTGCAAATATCGAAAACATGCGAAAATTCTCAAGAATAACGCTGCTAAAATGCACAAGAGAAAGTTTCCTGCACCGAAACTGTATATGTGCCATAAGAAATAAAATAATACACACATAAAACTGATAGTAAATGATTCATTTTTCTCTTCAATTATTGGGTAATATTTCAATTCTAAAACGAATCTTGCGGCTACAGTTACAGAAAAGAAGAGAGTGAGAGAAATTACAAATATTTTTTCTGTTTTCAAAAAAATCTTTTCTTCATCGCGATAATAAAAATGGCGTTTCATTAATTTGAGTTTGTTTCTTTTGCAAAATGTGAAAAGGACAGCGAAGAAAATTGCGAGGGTCATTCTTAAAGCCGACTGAAAATATAAGTTCGTTCCTGGCTCTGGAAGCATAGTTCCACAGAAAGCATCTTCATTAAATGTAATAACCGTTCCATGAATTACCATGAGCCATAACAGAAGCTCTATTCCATTAGCGTATATAGAAAACCAAATATTGTTTTCGAATTGGCAACAATTGTACGGTATTAAAGGTTCCAAACCAAACGCCCTTCCGACGTAAATTACAGGATTCAGTGAGCAAAGTGTATTGATTAAAAAGTCATTTTTCTCGTCGAAAAGTGTTACAGATGTTTCTCTATCCATTGTAATCTATTATAGTCGTATTTGAAAAAAATAACTGTAATTGTATGCTAGTTGCGTACAGTTTGTTTCACTTCTCAGATAAATTTAAGCAGCAGTAAAAAGAGAAAACAAATTATAATTGAGATCAGAAACTTTATCCAACGTTTTCCGCCAGACTTCGTGTATGTTAGTAACAGCAATTTGTTTATAACACGGCAGATTGAATGCATTCATTTATCATTATCTGGCTTGTTTAATTTTCAGAAAATTGCGTGTGCACGCTCGCTCACGAGGATAAAATTGTTTAAAAAAAATTCAGTAACGCTTGCAATAAATATTAATTAATAAATAAAAACATTTAATTATTAATTCCATATTGTTTAACGTACATAAATCCAAGACAGATTAAATCTTGTTTTGATATATTATTATGTACACTTCATAATTATGTGTATATAATTTCTTGACACTGTGTAATGATGTTCTTATATAAAACGCAATAAATTTCCCGTTTATATTTCCGTATAAGCTAATTTTATCTCGTACATAATTTAACATATTAATTTTAAAAGTTACACACTTTAATGAATATCTTCTTTATATACATTTATAATGAAGTTGTGAATAATAAACTGGTACCTCATGTATATTGTATGTGCAGTATATATTACCTACATATATATGCATAAGTATGCATTAGGATTTCTCATTTCCCGATCTTTTGCATGTCCCGGGATTCCGGGAAAAAAGTGAACTGTTTCCCGGATCTCGGAATGTAATTAATTATTTTTAAGATATAAAATAAATCTGAAATAATTAATTATTTAAGATTTTTAATTATTAATTATTTTTCATTTTTAAGTAACTTAATACGTCCTGCAACCTCCAAAATAATAATAATGATAATAATAATGCTGTGTAAAATATGTATTAAAAATTACATTTGAAATACGTAGAAATTTTCACAAATAGGAAAAATTTCTTAAAGTTTGCTGGAAACTGCATACAACAACAAAACTGCTTTGAACTGAGTTGAAAATTTATAGAAAAAAATGAACTTACATCAAATTTCTAACTTAGAAGGTATTTTCGCTTTTTAAATAAAACATAATACAAAATATTATTGATAAATTTTTATAATAAGATTTTAAAAAGCAAAGATGGTCGCTACTCCGATCACTCGATCTAGTTTTTATTTTAGTAATGAAAAGTCCCGCTACCAAGAATGCCCTTTCCGATACAATTGATGTGGGTGGAATTGTCTTTAATGCATTTAAGAGAAGACGGATGTTATGTGTTTTATCACCTGTAGCCTGTAAGATTTCTAGTTCAAATCAAGAATACTAGACGGCAAAAAAGTATTGTAACAATACTTTTTTCGCCGTCTGGTATTCTTAATTTGTCTACCTCGGTTGCTTTAATAGCGGCATCGAGCTTACAGTTCGATAATTCGGAAGTTCGTTTGGCTTTAATAATCGGGTTCGTGAAGAAAAACTTCATATTGCATACTTCGTACTCGTTTGTATCCTTGTCCAATTTGCACATCTGGCATAATGCAGTTATTGAAACTATCAGGATAAATACAGAATCTATACAGACGGATCGAGATCCTCAGAAGGAGTGAGATCATCGTATGTTTATTACTTTAGAAATAGGGAGCAGTATCATAAAAAAAATCAAGTTAGGTAAAAGATGCACAAATTACCAAGCAGAATTGGTAGCAATAGATGACGCAATTAACTGGATAAGCCAAAGGAAGAAAAATATAAAAATTACTATTTGCACAGATAGCCAGACTGTATTAAAAGCTCTTAATGATTGCAAAATTTCCCCAACTTTAACACAAAGTAAGAAAAAAGTAAATTTAAAGAAATTTTCGGGATTTTCCGGGATGAGAAGAATTTCCCGGGTTAAAAAACAGCCGGGATCTCGTTTGAGAAACCCTAGTATGAATAGTGGCTCATTCTTTTTGCATGTACTATATGATCGTACACGTCTACGAGCTAGGTTATCTGTACCTGTTCTTTCTTAATTTAGGTTATTTACGTTACTCCTACGCAAGTCCCTAGTCCCTAACTCTAACTGATTTAGAACCGGCATGCACGTTATTCTTCGCATTGTAAAATGACATTGCGCATGCATCAGGACTTCGAACAAACCTGACCTGCCGTCCGGGTCAGCGATTTTGAAAAGGTGGCAACACTATTTCGAGTGCTTAGATAAAGAACGATTTCATTTTCGAACGAAATACACACGCCTCGGCAAATATATTAAGTAAAGGTATGTGACATTCTTCATTTTACAAATGGTAAATTTCATATAGTTATATATATGAAAACAAAAGACTTTTGTCGCGAGTCTTGGTGGAACAGTGGTAACGTCATCTATTAGTGTTGAACCGGTACAACTGGATGTTGTGGGTTCGAACCTCATAAAAGGAAATTCTGTGATAAAACATTGAATCCCTCCTTGATTTCATATAAATAAGTGAGAAAATAGAAGGCGTTTTCAGAATTTCTTTTTTCTTTCTCTCTCTTACAGTATTTAATATTTTTACTTCAAATTAGAATTCTTCAGAATTGTAATTTTATAGTAGAGTCCACTTATCATTATACAGAATAAGAGAGTAGTATGCTCAACAGAGCATTTACCCACGTTTCCGTTTTTCTTTCTAGTGTTTTACATTAGTATTACACCCGTTAATTTTATTCTCATTTTTCACCTGATGCTCGCCTTCTGGTGTTTAAAAACAAAACTATTCTATCTGGGTCGTTCGATTCATTCTTGTGTAGTATCAGCAGTAAAGATGAAAAGCGATAGAAAAAGCAACGCTTACTGTTGATTCCAAATTGCAATTTCAAAGACTTACGAGAGCCTGATATAAGTTTTCGTCTATTCCCACACGAAAAACGGGGAAAACAGATGATTATTCGGAAATTGACCGGTTATATTTATGAGCTCTGAATTCTGAAAGAGTGGATTAGACTGTTAAGAATTGGCAGTTTCCCGATTGTCCAGCTTTACACGAACAAGTTACGCTGTCAATTTTAAAACATTTTGTTAAAGTTTAAAATGCCAGTAATTTTGTGTAGGACACAGGGCCGGATTTAAGCATTTCGAAGCCCTAAGCCGAACTTTGTAAGGCCCCTTACCAACCCTTCACAATTTTAGAAGTCAATCATAAAAAAAAAAGAATTAAATCAGACTATGACTCTGATTTAATACGGATATTGGAAGAAAAAGACGTGAGGTTTCACTAGTCTTCTGTTTTATAACTAAGTTTAATTAAATTTTTATACCCATTCCATTAAAAATCTTTTTTTTAAATTGGTTTTATCCATTTTTTTAAAAAAGATCTTACGTTAATTCTTAGAAAAAAATTAATGAAATACTACACAAAATAAACAGTGAAGTATGTTTTGTTGGTTTGTAAAAAAATGCTTATTACAAAATCTGACTTCAATTTTCTTTTTTATACAAATGTTTGAGGTCCCTCGAAAGTCGATGCTTTTTACTTGTAAATCCGACCCTGATGGGACAATGTCAAACTTGATGTTTTTTAACACAAAGGGCACAAATATGTATAGAACGATCTCTCATTTGTTTCGATACCACATAATGACGTGTCCCGCTAACAATAATTGTTACTAGTTACTAGTTACAAGCGACCCAGATAAAGTAGCCATTTTGTAAAAATGCAGCGCCCTCTATAGTTCATAAAAACTCGAATAGTTAGCGTGTAAAAAGACTAAGTTTTCCATGTGAAGTTATGTTTTGTAATAAAAGGAAGCAAAAGAAAATGAATTTCAGCTGAACAGAAATTGAGTGAAGTAAAAAACAACAGATTCATTTATTCAACTACAACAGGAAAAAATTAAATTGAAGAGAAAAGAACTGGAGCCGAGGGAGAAAGAAGTTTCTATGTCTGAAGAGAAGAAAGACTCGATTAAAAAAAATTGCAATAGCATTAACGTCAATTGCTGATTTATTATCCCGAAATAAAAATAATATATTTTCTCAAATATTCTAAATTATGAATATGTTAGAATAATGATTTATTTATTTTCGAAATTAAATTTGTTTTTTATCTACTGACTTTGCTGTTCTTACTATTTGAATATTCTTGAAAAAAGGCGGGCTCTTAACAGACAGACATATATATATATTAAAATTCTTCGGGTATAAAAATATTTCTTAAACAACGTCTTTTGGCTCTCAGTAATGTTTCGATTTCGATCAGAATAGCAAATCTGTCAGCCATTTCCACTTTCGTGTAGCGATCTCACGTTCTCGACTCAAAGTGAGTAGGGACTCAGATGATGAGATGGGAAAGCACGCGAATTATAACTCGAGACTATCAATTTGACGTAAGAGTGTGAGATGGTGCCACGTGACACCTTCAACACGTTGGGAGTTGTAACACGAAAAACTGGAGACTAAGTTCAGGGCCGTGGGGTAGATTTTCTCAGTATTATGCGAGTCTTCGAAATACTGCCCCTTAAATGTTTTTTCTGTAAAATAACCTTCGATTGTATTTTTTTTCTACAAAATTGCACAAAATAGACGAATAATATTTTTATTTTGAAAATATAAACTACAATAAAATATTGATATCAACTACAACAATCTACTACAGTTTTACTCTTCTAACTTTAGCAAATTCGTTAATTAGGAATGTGTAGTTTAGAGTGGCAGCCAATGTAGATTCGATAGAAATTAATGATAGATTTCTGTTTGGCTTATTGAACTTTTTAAGTAGTATTTTATTAATTTTAATTTGGAAAAAATTCTTTTCCGCTAGCTACAGAGACGGGGGAGTGCTAATAAAAGTATCAAAGCTACGACAGTATTCGGATACAGAGTAATTAAGTTATTTTGGCACAAATTATTTAAAACATCCAAAGGGTATAGAATATGGTAGCATCCGGGATATATCACGCAATTCTTCTTGTAGGTCATTTGCATTTATATCTGATTCATTTTCGACCGAAAGTATCGACCGGAGACTGGTTCAATAATTTTTTAGCATTTTTTCATCTAAATCCTTGAGTTTTAAAATGTCATATAAAAACTGAAAACTTTTGCTACTGATTTCCAGAGCGTAATCGTTTATTCAGAGAATTAAGGGTAATTGAAAAAGTTTATTCTCTTCTGTTAAGGGTTCATCGACAGCTTCTTCGTAGTCAAATTGATGCTTTTTTCTTCTGGTTCTAACTTCAGTTTCGGCAGGTAATTCTGTACTGCATTCGAGATTCTCCGCAATCTCATTAGCAGCAATTTTCATCCCGATCATATCCCGATTGTCTGTAACTTTTCACTTTTTGTATGGTTTCTGATAACATCCTTATACAATCTGACAAATTTATAGTTATAGATTGCAATAGCTTCGAGACTGAATTTATTTCAAATTAAATACAGGGTTCCTACTCAAATTTTTGTTTTGAATTCCCTGACTTTCCCTTATTTTCCCTAACCAACTTTGTCCAAATTTCCTGACCCTCACATTTTTTAGTGTGGAATATCGACATAATAAAACAGCATTTACTGTGAACATTGAGTACATCTAGCCCTCTTTTTGCACGGTTGATATACTTCAAAGACTGCCACATTAAAAAATACAGTAAAAAAATACATATAAAACATTTTTCTACATCCTGTAGAAAAATGTTTGATAGAATCCACAACTTCAATGTAATGAAAAAATAAGCAATTTACAAACAAAACACAAGCTTTTTATTTTATCATCATTTATCATTATTATTTGTATGTAAATCTAGTAAATACAAGGTAACATAAAATCAACAAAAATTATTCTTTGATAAATAAATAGTACTGTACTGTGCTTAAAATGAACTCTTGACTTAGAAACACACAATTTTAAAATCAATCTTTCAACAGAGTAACTGTTTTTTTTAAACAGCAACATAATTTTAACAAAAAGTTAAATTTAAAGATTTTTAAATAAAGCATTTTTCCTAAGTAAAAAAATCAATGATTGTACATAAAGAGGAATAGGTGTAAGTTTATACTATAGCTTCTCTAACAATTGCATCTAATTTATTGTAAAATCTTTTTATTTTTTTACAAAATGGACAATCAAAATACAGAAAAACTTCTTAGTATTAATCCCTTTTTCTCAAAATACAGATAATTAGAAAATAAAAAATGAATTACAATTCACAAAACACAAAAACTATTATATTAATGTAGTTTTAGCCTTTTCTCCTCAAGTGTATTCATTTTCATTTCAATCTCTTTTTCTTCCTTTTTGTGATCTTTTCTTAACGTTTTCTTGTGTTGTTTTAAGTCTTTAAGTTGTTGTGTAAGTTTTATTTTTTCTTCAGCCCTCAATGCCTGCTGCTTTTGAATATCTTTTTTTCTGTTGCAAACATGCAATATATCGCTGTCTAGATCCTCTGACTGTTAACAACATTTTCTGGTCTATATTTATTTGATCAATACCACCTGCAAAACGGATCCCATCATAAACTAAGCGTTGAGCAACTAAACTTTCTTCCTTAAGATTTTCACTCAACAGTGATTTGTTAACCGAGAAACCACTCTCAACACTTGCATTCCCATGTGAGAAAGAAAGAGAAATTTTGATAATAGACCATAGATCTTGCAGTTGCTTATCATCCTTCAAAATTTCACAATAAAATGTGTCCAGACCATCATCATCACTCCTTTCAGATATGAAGTCCTCAAACTTTGTAGAATAGGATTTTATGGACACTTTACTGCAGAGTATATCATACTGTTCTTTTGCTTTGACAGCACATTTCTCATCAATCCTGTTTGTATCATGTAGAACCTCCAGTAAAACATTGAAATACAATTTTCCAACATTTGATTGCATTTTAATAATTTCTGGGTCTAAGCTGCTCAAAGCTTTCACACATCTGTACTTGACAGGTCCCTTCTCAATTATCTTTTGTGTCATCACTTTCAGCACATTTCGACAATCTCTTAGAAAATACAGAATATCTTTGTCACTTACTTTCAATTCTTTTAAAATTTTTTTTGCTCCAAAACCAATATCCAAATTCTTCAGAGGTACCAAGTTTTCATTAGCATTTAAATCTATTTTTAGAAACTGCTTGTCGGTGACCCTGTCATTTTTCACAAACTTTCTCATCAGGTTCATTAATAATTGAACAACTGCTTTATAAAGATAGGGTGCAAGAGGTTTGTTGCTCTGAAATCGGGTGAGAAAGCTCTCACTTTGGGTACATATAGACCGAAAAAATAAAAGTTTGACTTTAATAAAAGGATCATTGAGTGCCTGTCTCAAGAATGTAGCCACCTTGCTGTCTTTCAACTTTGTACTGTTGTTTATAAATGTCTTCACAGATTCAACAACTACTACTGCACATTCTAAGCACTCACCATTCTCCAACCACCTTGTTGAACCAAACTTTTTGGAAAATAATCTGCTTCCACTTATAGCAATGTATTCAGCACGCCGAGTGGGTGAGTCCTTTAGCAAGTAGTACTAATTCCGTAGCAGTGGTAACAAATTCCAATCTACTACTTTAAAACCAGCTTTTACAGCACCATGGACTACATGTAAACCACATGTTCCCATTCTCACAAATGATTTATCAATGTTCTGTGTCTCCATGTGATCTTCTAATTTATTCAGAAAACTTATGTTTACATTTGGTCCGTCCATACAGATATGAAGAATTTTTGCTAGATCAAGATGAATTTCTNACAGCATTCCACAGAGTTGGCTGCTACGTATTCTACACACGTAAAAAATACATTCATCACTCGTTGCATTCTTCCAAAACACTATGCAGCACTGCAGAACAACACTGCATCGAATCTGTGAAATCACAGTTATGATTTCACAGATTCGAGACAGCTCGGTAGCCCGAACTGCCCCAGGCGTTCGCCCGTGCACGCTAAGCGACTTTCATTACAAGCATTTAGCTTTCCGAATTCTATGTCAACAATTGTTTGGCATTGACGGCCGCGAATTTCGCGCCAATAAGCTTCCTCATTCGACTCTGTTATCGACTCAATTTCATATTTATTTTCATATTTTCACTTTGCGGTCCTTCTCTGTTCTTTTTCCATTATATACACGTGTCGGTCATTTCATTGTTATCCACATTTGATATCATCATTTATCACATACTGCCACGACGCTCTTGTCTGTCCGCTACAACTGTCAAGAATTAACGCGATTGGCGAAGCGTACTGACAGCGGGCCAATAGAGAGCGGGGTCCTTGCCGTAATGCGGTTCGCCCGGCAATTTTCGTACGTGAGTTAATCGAGTCGAATAGTTTGGCCGAATATTCGGTATTCGGCCTGAGGATGAATATACTATTCGTTGCAACACTATTTTATATCCATACAAAACGGAATTCGAAACAATGGAGTTAACCGAATTTATGTGGCAAGGTATCCATGATTTAGAAATGAAATTAGTTGAATTTCAAAGCAGCATAGTGCGGAAAAGTAAATTTGAAAACTTGCTTTCCAAAGTAGAAGGAAAAATGTTTGAAAGTAGTTCAGATAATAATGATCCCACACTACAAATTGAAAATATTATACTAAACGTATGGGATTCTTTACCAAATAACTTTATATTAATGAAGAAACTTGCTAATGCTCTTTTAACGATGTTTGGGTTCGCATATTCGTGTGAAAAATTGTTTTCTTTAATGAACTTTGTAAAATATACCAATAGAAATAAACTTGGAAATGAATTGACTGAAAAATGCGTTAAACTAATGAATACAGAATATGAACCTAATATTAAGAAACTATCTGAAAATAAACAACAACAGATTTCTCATTAAATATACTTCAACTTTATTATACATACACATATCTGTAACTATATCTGTTAATAAATAATATTTCATAAAATATGTGATTTTCTTTATTCCTTGTTCAATCAAATACTCAGTGCAGGGGCGACTGCTGACTGAACATGGTGTCATCCGGTGTACTAATTCATCGTATCACCCCATTGATATTAATTTTTTTTACGTCAACGTTTATTTTTTGCTCTTCACTTGCAAAAATAAAAGTTGTAAAACAAAAAAAAGTAAACTTTTTAGAAAATTTTAAAAGTACGAACCAAAAAAAGTAGTTTTTAATCATCCTTCCCCCTTTCCAGGTGATGCCACTGACTTAGTGACACACGAGCTAGTACTGTACTAAAAGAAATACTGTAATAAACAAAATTTGACCGACTTCTCAAAGACGTTCGCCATCACTGTCCTAGATGGTTCTTCATTTCTTCAGACACGCGTTGATCGTTTTTGAGGTACAGACTTACTAATGTACCAAAAAACACTTACTACAACACCTTTTCTTGCAGTCGACGTCGACTGCAAGAAAAGGTGTTGTAGTAAGTGTTTTTTGGTACATTAGTAAGTCTGTACCTCAAAAACGATCAACGCGTGTCTGANTTGTCCCAGTATTTTATCACAAGATCCATTTGACTTCTTTGAGCAACTTTGTTTAGTGGTTCGTCAAAGGAGATAGTAATATTATCGCAACTTGTAACAGCATTAATCAATTTTTCTCTGAAATAATGGGCTAGGCCATAATTTATTATGTAGGAAGATTTATCTGGACCCAATTGAAATTGCATGGTTATAGCACTGTCAGGAAAAATTTTTTTTAAAAAGTTTTTAATATCAGAGCATGAATTAAGTGACATCTTTTTCTTTACAACTGCCAATGCCCAAGTTATCTCTGCTTTTATTACATCATCTTTTATCACAAAAGGTGTCAATGTGCTGCTAGGAAATGTTGATTTGGTGAGAGACTGTTCGTTAGTGATCTTAGATCTATCTTCCACAACAGAAGCCGTTTCACACACATTTTGTTGACTATCAGAAGAGTTTGAATTTGTTGGGGTTAATTTAAACCTCGTTTGTTTCCGTGCCATTAGAATTTAAGAATGTAGAAAAACAAACCTTGAATAATAATATTAAAAGACAGATGAACCAGATCAGATAGCAATGCGTAAGACGTTTTGTCACAACAGTACGTAAAATATTTAGGTTTCCAACTCAAAAAAATAAAAGTAGCTAAAAGCAAACAAAAAACTCTCTAAAAATAGCTAAAAATTTTTTTAAAATTCGCTAAAAAATGGCTAAACAAAAGACAAAAACCTACCTTTAATTAATCTATTTTTAACTTTATTCAAATAGTCCATTCGTCGCTAAATTCCATTACCGGTACTTCTTCAATTTCTTCATTGTGTTCAAAAGATAGTCCTGCTTCAAACTGTAAATGTTGATATGATTTCATAGTACCTATTTTTCGAATGACATTTGCTGGCAATTCATAATCATAGCTGCATTTCCCTAATCTTTTCAAACCATATCTAATCGTTAATATGCTACTGAGTGAAATAATATTCAATCTATTCCGCAGTTTGGTCTTAACAATATTCATCTGACTAAATAAGCGCTCTACTTCTGCGTTTGAGTGAGGTAATAAAAGAATTTTTAAAACAAAATTGACCAAGTCTTGAAAGGGATTTTCTCTGGCAGCATCTCGGTATTGAGCTACCTCCATCCACCGGTTTATCGTGCTGGAAGTTTTTTTCCACTGAATTGTATGGATTTTCCTCCATTGAAAGTCGATGAGAGTTAATACTACATTATCAGTGAGAAACATTTTCGCAAGGTTTATTATATCACTTTTAATTGGGTTGAAGCATTGGTCAATACTTAGTGACGTCATGGTTTTCAATATTGATATAGTGTCAGGTAGCCTTTGCCGAAGTTGTTTTATAAGAGACAAAAGGAAGGCAACGCAGTGACTACGAATATTTTTCTTTTCTTCATCTAACAGTGCAGAATTGTTTATTTCAGTTTCAAACTGATAACTCAAATATGGATTGAGTGCTAAATGGTTTTCAATTACTACATCATTTGTTACATCGCATGACTTATATCCTGCCTCCCATCCTGGCACAAAGCATGTTAGCATTTTTATGTAGCTAAAAAAAATTATTATAGGTCGAAATCACTGACGTCAATATATATGTTACTGTGAAAGACCGAAATTAAAGAATGTCGATATTCTTCGGTAAATATATACAAAATGCGTTGGTGAAAAACCGAATATTTGGCTATGTTATTATACATTCCAACAATCGCCGGTGTATGTCGACAAGCACAAATAAGCTTCGGTGGAGGTCGAAAGGACACCCGAGAAGCCGATGTCGACGGAGAGACGACAGTCTGTCGCCAAATTCTTCGCCGTTTCCTCTTGCTCAAATTGGTGATACCGTACGAACACAAGTCCCCGATGTCGACCCTGGCCGTACAGATGCCCAAAATGTGTTGGTGGTTGTTGTTGGAATAGAAGACTCCGACTTTTATAAATTAGCGAACAAAAACTGGGCGATTTGTCAATTCGAATGACTGCCAAGGCCAACGCTCGCTGCGCTTAATTAAAATGTTTTGTTTTGGATTTTGTACCGAAATAAAACCCATGTAAAATGATAAAATTGTATTACAATTATCGATTACGTTACATGCATATTTGTTATCAGAATCTGTCTGCAAATAATACATATTGATAATTATGTTACGGTCGGTAACGTTGCAAACACGGAACGTGAAAAAGAGAATTTTTTTAACACAATGAAAACGTATTACATAAAAGTCTAGAATAAAACTACATGGAAAAAATAAATTAAATATTTAAATTATTAACCAAATAAAAAAAAACGTAAATTCGAAAATAAACGAATAGNACAGATAAGCTTCGGTGGAGGTCGAAAGGACACCCGAGAAGCCGATGTCGACGGAGAGACGACAGTCTGTCGCCAAATTCTTCGCCGTTTCCTCCTGCTCAAATTGGTGATACCGTACGAACACAAGTTCCCGATGTCGACCCTGGCCGTACAGATGCCCGAAATGTGTTGGCGGTTGTTGTTGGAATAGAAGACTCCGACTTTTATAAATTAGCGAACAAAAACTTTCGGCGATTTGTCAATTCGAATGACTGCCAAGGCCAACGCTTGATGCGCTTAATTAAAATGTTTTGTTTTGGATTTTGTACCGAAATAAAACCCATGTAAAATGATAAAATTATATTACAATTATCGATTACGATACGCGCATATTTGTTATCGGAATCTGTCTGCAGATAAATACATATTGATAATTATGTTACGGTCGGTAACGCTGCGGACACAGAACGTGATAAAGAGAATTTTTTTTAACACAATGAAAACGTATTACATAAAAGTCTAGAATAAAACTACATGGAAAAAATAAATTAAATATTTAAATTATTAACCAAATGAAAAAACGCAAATTCGAAAATAAACGAATAGATATAGTTTAAAAAAAGAAGGATATGGCAACACTGCCTACGAAACGGAAAGAACGTTCTCGCTTCGATTTATTTTAAAACGAGAAGATACGGCAAGGCGGAACGTCGCTCGGAAGTAGAGAGGTTGCGGCGCAAGTTCAAACGTTACTTGTACACGGTTGACGTTTTAACTCCCAAGAAAAAATCGTTGCGGCGGACGTTCGCAACATCACGTGACTCGGTGAACGTCGCGCATTGACTCACGGGAAGTTTGTTGAAAAAATGGCGGATACATTTAACGTGGTTGGTTACCAGCGAAGGTAAATAAACAAATTAAACTATTTTAAAGTATTTATAGGATATTTAATAATACTAAATAATTATTTTTAATTAGCGTGGTGTCTCTTATCGGACTACTTCATACCTTTGTCCGGGGAAGTAGTGGCTTATGTTTAATTTTTAGAAAATTTACAAACCTATTACGCTGTTGATGGTAGAAGATGCCGCGGAAGAACGAGCCTAACTTAAGATAAGCTATTACGAAGGCAAATATATGTAAATTCTATAGGCACTTCGCATCGCTTGCTAAAAAATTGAAGAATTAAATAATTTCTGCATTAAAATCGTCTGTTTCTTTACATTATTATTCGTAAATGCTTAAGTAATCATTATTTTAATAAAATAGGTCGTAATTTTAATCCCAAACGCAAAAAAATGAAGTTTAAGCCAATCGTCTATTTGCCGTGCTAGACGTAGCGAATACCGTTATCGACCGTCTAGAATTGTGAGACGGCGGCGCTCGACGGTCCACCGTTCGCATTTTGTGCCGAATACAACGGCCACCATCTCTCTATTATCTCTTTATTGTTCTGGCATTTTGTTGGTAACCCAGCCGGCGCGTTGCGGTGTCGGTCGACCGACGAATGGACCGTGATACTTCGGCGGGTCGGTGGCGTTTTAGAAGGAAAACTCGGGAAGGACCAAAGCGGTTTGTCGTAAAATACCGGAAAGAAGATGGTGACGGATGTCGTGTTGGGTGGTTTAAATTTGCGTTATTCCGACGAGAGGAGGAGATGTTATCACTTTTGTATATGGCATAGAAACGTTATCACCTATGCCACCTGGACCTCAAATAGAGGTCCAGATGGCATAGGTGATAACGTTTCTATGCCATATACAAAAGATGCAGGTTGAAACATCACTTTGGTTAGGCTATGGTTACTGTAGATGCGAATTCTGATGAAATCTTGTTCTGACGAGTTCGTCCGAACAAACAAATACCTGTTTTCCAATGACAGTGTTTACTTTGGCAGCGAAGAGCGTGTCGGAACACGCACGATGTAGCCGGAACCGTTCGAGCATTCAAATGAGTTTGTTTTTTCATGCGTTCTGACGTTCAATTTTGAGTGTTTTTTTATCAACATGGATATTGATAAATTGATTAGTCTTGTGTTTGAGAATAGGTGTTTGTGGGACATAAAAGACAAAAACTATCGCAATATTCATATATCTCTCATTTTGAAATAATCGAAAAACTTTTGTGGGTTTACAGTAGACCTATCAACAGCATTGTCACCATAAACAAATTTTAAACAACAATGAATCTCAGTAGGAGTCACTTTTTCAGCAGTTAAAAATTTGATGACAGCACGCTGTTTAACTCACGTTGACATAGCACTAGAACACGTCCCTATATTTCTGCTTCTCAAAATATACTGAATGAATGCACAACATCAAACTGCACATACGCATAGAGGGGGAATGTTACTTCCATTGCCACCTGGCACACTTCTGAAAATCATTTCGTTTGCACTCTGCAAGCATGTGTGTATTACTTTTCAGCCTACCCTCGTAACTATCAATAATTAAATGCCGAGTAATTTGGCCTAGAAGTAGGCCATCTCTTATCAAATTTAATAATTAAAATGAAATTAATTTAGAAAGTTAATAGTAGCATTAATATAATTCAATCTAATCTGGAAATTGTTTGGCTTTATTACTGGGCTTACAAATGTTTATATTTGTATATCTACAAACTTAAATATTTTAATTTAATTTACTTTTAAATATTTTAATTTGACGTAAATTAAGCATTTTATTAATCTAAGTTTAACACAAGACTGAAGCCCGATAACATGCCTTTTAGCTAAATTATTTTGATTAATTATTAATTAGCCATATGCTAGCTTGAGAGTGAACTAATGATTTATATGTGAGTTTATGACAATACAGTGACAAAAATATAAAAATAAAATATGGTAATCAGAATCAAATACAGTCCTCTTGCACGAAAGTCATTTCGTGTGTGTCTGAATGTACCAATATGTACTGCTAGAAAGGTATTGAACACGTGTCTAAATTATAACAATTTGGGAGAATTATTAAAAAAAGAATAAGACAAATTTTGCTTTTAATTTTACTTAAACTCTCTTTTCTTTACAGTTGTATCCCCGAACGAGGCTGTACTTTCAAGAGTTTTATCCTAATTCAAGTGAAACATTTTGTTTTTGAGGCATTGGTTCTTGTTGTTTTTCAAGCTCCTCGATTATATCGTAAACAAACTGGTAAGTTTAAATTTTTTTTTTAAATTTAACTGTAATAAAATTTAATTTA